CAGCAGTGTATGAGGGTCCCAATCTCTCCACAACCTCGCCAGCATTTGTTATTTTCTGTCTTGTTGAACTTTGCTACTAGTGCTGGAGCAAGATGTTATCTCATTGTTGTTTTGATTTGCATCTCTCTAATAGCTAATGATCGTGAGCATTTCTTCATATGTTTGTTGGATGGCCTACACTTTAAATGATGCTCCATGGCCGGGTGAGATTTTTTGAGGAAAGACTCAGGGTTATGGAGAACGGCTGTGTTCTCTCTCTAGCAGGGTCCCAGGAAGTGGAGCAGACCTTCAGAAGACAGCCACACCGTCATGAGGCTCTTACACGAACCTGTCTTCTCTGATGGGGTATGGGTGCACAGAGGAGATGCTTACTGTAACAGTATTTTAGCAGGCACCTGTTTTTCTGTGATTTATAGCACTGGGCTCTTCAGACACCTTCTGAGATAGTCTGGGAGGCTGCTTTGTGGGAAACAAACTCCCAGCAAGGGGAAATGGAAAGAGCCCAGGAGCTGTGTGTGTGAGCAGCTAAGGTATTTCTGCTCTCCCTAAACCACTGGGGATGGACTCAGGCAGGACTTTGTTTGGTGTGGCAAATAACAACAACAACAAGTCAAAATAGCAAGATATCCAATCAGTATGACTAATTTTCCTCCTTGATTTTGTGATGATTGGTTCGTTGCTTATTCATTTATTTGTTCATTCACAGAACATTTACTGGGTACCCACTCCATACCAAACATGGCACTGGAGGTAACTAAGCATTGTCCCTGCTTTCAAAGAGATAGCAGATAAATGCTCAGTTCCAGTTCAGTGGTATAAGGGCCTGAGAGCTTTATTCTTATATTTTGGACACAGAGAGCCACGCGTACATCCACGCAAGCTGGAGAGGAGGGTGGTGAGGAAGGGGTGAAAAGCCCCCAGAGAAGATGTCACTTGAGTGTCATTTGAAATCAGAAGGAGCTAGCCAGACGGATGGAGGGGCAAGTAGAGGGAGGAGAGGGGAAGGCAATCCATAAAGAAGGAGCTCTAGGGACAAAGGTAGAGCCCTCCCAGGTGACTCCAGAGGACTGTAAGGGACTCGATTGCAGAGGACAGCAGCATGCTGGAGCTCTGTCTGGCAGACAGGTCGTCCAGGTACTAGTCCTGCCCTGTCACTCATTGTCAACTGTGAGTGAGTCTCTTAACTTTTCCTGGCCTCAGTTTTGCCTTTTAAAAACTGGGTTTTAACCTTTACAGATGATCTCTCACCTCACTGTCATCTCAGATCCTGTTCATCTCTAATGCTGTATGATTCTGTGAAAGACAACAAGTGTTAGCTGGGAGAGATCTGAAACTTCTAACATTTAGTATTCTCATCGGTGTTCCGGTTCCATGGTCAGCTGTTAGGCCACTACTGAAGCTAATGGGTATATTTATTGTCTCTTTGGGCCAGTTAGCTTTACTCTTCCATTGAACACAGACTGTAGGTAACTCTTTCATGTCTGTTTCTGGATGTGTGACATTGTATCCAAGACAAATAAGGCCAAATAATGATGAGTCAACCCAGATCCTCCCCTAGTACTAGTTTTTCAAGAGCATTCTTGTTTGGTGTTAAGGATATTTTTGTTATTATTTACATTATCCCACTCAGTAGCTTGTAAAGGATATTAAGTTCAGGTGGCATCACACTGTAGTGGAGGAACACAGAGTTACCAGCTCCTTAGGAATGAATATGATAAGTTGAGAAAATGATGGGAAATGGCTTGCTTCTCAAGATTCAGCACATGTGGCTCAATGGATCATCAAAAAGCAGTGGATTATGCTCTGGTGATAGAGTGCTAGAGGAGGAGGCAGCATGGTTGTCACTCAGGCAGGTTGGCCATGAATGAGCCCCTAGTTCTCCTGAGCAGTTGAGATAGATCTTGCTGTGCTGGTGGCAGCTGGGACCCCAAGACCTGAGATAGTCTTAAAGGACTTAGAAGGTCTTTGAAAACTTGGGGAAAGCACCAAAAGACCTTCCACATGTTGCTCATTGATGTGAGGCTCTGGGAGAGAAGCAATGGTTAGAGCAAAAAGCACTGTGAGGAAAGAGTAGAGAAGCTTTGAATATTTTACCAAGAGAATGAAAAGGTGAGAGGCTGACTTAATAATTTTGATGTATATGAAAATGCATGGTGGCTCTTTCCTGTTTTATAAAGTGAAGGGAACTTAGAGAAAAATTGCCTTCAAAGGCTGCTTGAAGAAGGAGGGCTATCAAATATCAAAATGACATATCAAATGTGGACTATGGGGTTTTTTGCATGGAAGCTATGTGGAGTAGGAGTTGGAAAGATAAATAAGCTAATTGACCCCCTTTCAGCGAAAGGATTTAATGAATATATTTCTCATTCAAAAAGCACTTGTCCCTAGAGAAAGCATTCTTGCTTGGCAAACACAAATTCCTGGAAATCTGACTCCAATCTGACAATCTCTAAGAAGGCTGTGAAATTCCCAGTAAACAAGTGTAGCCTTCCATTTTGCAGATTCGGATCTGCTTTTTGATGTATTTGTTAAATTTTGATAATTTTTTCCCCCTCTGGAAAATTTAATATCAAAAATTCTAACTTTGTTCAATGAATGCTATCTCTGATGTGAAAAACAAAATTCTGAATTCCTATGGGCAAAAGTTAATAACCATCAAAATTATAGTTATAGGATCCTGTCAAGATTTTGAGTATTTTGCTTTCAGCAAATCTCTTACATTTTATTTTTTTGCCCAGCCTACTTGATAATGGATTGGTTTGGTTGTTTTGTTGTTGTTGTTGTTGTTGTTGTTAATGTAGAGAGAAAAGTATGTAAATCATGTGGCACAAAATTTAAATACCTTCAAGTTCTTTTTTGGTGCAGTTTTTTAAAGCTGTTTTTTCCCTCCAACAGCTAAATTTAGAATTTCAACCTTTCTGCCTATTGAGTAAATAGCTTTCCATGAATTAGAACTAAATCCCTTTCCCAGAACATCTTTCTGGAGAAGAACATTTTGTCCTGACACAGTGTGCCTTAGGTTCCTCCAACAACATCCGGAAAAACCCAGAAGCAGTTTTAGGTGAAGCATATTTGCCTCCTGCTACAGTAATAATTACAGTAACATCCTTGCATTTTCTGCATGGCCTAGCAACGATTAGGTTTTTACTGCAGGCTGCTTAGATTTTTTTTTTTTCCTTGCGTTAATTCCTCTGTGTTTTCTGTTTCTGAAAAAAGTCAAGGAATAACAATGGAATCCCACCATTTTGCTGTTTTCCAGCTTTATAAGGAGATTGTCTATTTACAAAAGAAACACCCCGTGAATTGGCACAAGAACTATGCTATCGCCTGTGAGCGGATACTGCGTCTTCGGGAAAAGGATGCAGACCCTGAAGTCCTGTTATCTGAGACCATCAAACATTTCCGTCTCTACACTCAGAAAGCACGGAATGACCCACAGCTGGCTGATATTTCAGTTGCTCTAAAGCACCTAAGAAAAGAACTGCAAAGTCTGAGAAATATGAAAAATATTGCAGGCAGCAAAATGTGAAAAACCTGCTTGTCATTCAGCTTCCAAAATTCTGAAAAGTTTTTCCTCCAAGAAAGGAAACTATAAAAATGGAAAACAAAGTCGTCTCCCAGATATGAGGAATGTGAGACAGCAGTACTGTTCAGTGAAGTGGTTAGTAACTGAGACGTGCTATTTTGCAAAATTCTCATCATCCCCTGTTACCAAATTAGCATTTTGGTGAGGACCTTTGGAATAATCTTCCTACTTCTTCAGCCTTTCCCCAAATGACAATGCTTGATTGGATTCCAGAAAAGAATGACATAGTTTCATATTCTTAAATATTGACCCTGAATCTTTTAGGGGTCCTGCTTATTAGTGGTATTAATGGGATCGGTTGTGATGGTAAATTCTTAAGAGATTAAGACCAGACCCAAAGACATTTTCTTTTACCTGCAAGTGAAATAGTCTTTAGAAAGAGTGAATCTTGCTATGCTTCAAGTCCAAATACTTTTGTTTTTTTCCTTTTGAATAACCATGTTGGTTATATAATCATATCCTTCAAGCTAAACACCAGTCAGCTGACATTTTGAAAATGGTTTGGGTTTTATTGTCTTAGCTGGTTCTCTGAAATCACCCAAAAGAAAAACTAACTTAATGTTTGCTGATTTCAGTTACATAAACTGATTGGCAGGTAAAAAGGATTTTGGATTTCCTTAATTAATTTTTTTATTTATGTTTTACTTCTGTTTGGACTCATAGATCTAGGTCCAATAATTAGCAGGCTCCTACTGCCGGGTGGGGGGAAGGCGGGGACCAGGGGGATGGGGAAATGGCTCAATAAATCCATTTCTGTTACAAGCATCTTTTATACATATTACTAAAGAGAACATAGTAAGAAATGCAAATAATAGTTCTTTATTTTATTATGACAGTTAATTAATAGCAACCTGTTTTAATGAATAAAGTCACTCAGAGTCCTTCAGCACTTCCTAAGTAGAGGCCAGAATCTGTAGGGATTCTTTTCCCCCCAATTGTATGGCTCCTAGACTCCAAGCACTATATAGGCCCCTGTATAGAAATGCTCACTAATGAAGAGGGAGGGCTAGAAGCTTGTCTGCATTCAAAGATCACTGGTGAGTCATTCAGCAAGAAAAGGCCCCTTACCAGGAATAGTCACAGTTCCGTGGCATTGTACTAGCAAAAGGGTCTGATCAAAGGTCTCCTGTGGAGCTTGCATGGTTCCCTTTCATACTACGACCATAATTAAAACCACTAATTCTCTTTTAAAATGCTGCAGGATGCCATGTAGGCATCTGTCTGGAGTGTCCTTTGTGATGTCATAAGCTGTTAAGGACCAGTGCCGAGGGCTTTTGAGTGAAATGCCAGTCATGAAGGTGCTTCAAGACAAGGGTGCCTCTAAAAGCTTGACAGGGCCTTGACTGCACAATTCGAGCTGAATTTGCCCCTTGTCAGCTGCCAGTAAATAAATCTCAAAGGGGGAAAAGCTGAAGTTTCATTACCTGATCCATGGGGCTTTGTTGGTTTTGGCATCACACAGGGGAAGCTCTTGCCCCTCCATTCTCTGGATTTGAAGATGTCCATTGGAGCCTGCAGGGCCTGGACAGGGTTCAGAGCGGAACCTTTTGAAGAGTGTCAGTAGTTGTAACAGTTCAGCTGTTAGGAAGACAAATAAATGGAGGAGCTCATTAATCCGCTTTTGGCTCTCGCTGCCTTTTGCCCTTTTATCACAGCCTTATTAGGCTCCTACTCATCTTGAACCAGAAAAAAATGAATTGAAGTTGTTGAGTACTAATTGGCAAAGACTTTTAATCATGGGCCAAGAACTTTCACTGACTTGAAAGTAACTTCTCCACAGGGAAGAACCCGAAACCTGGTTTACCTTAAAACAAAAACCTGTTGAAGTTCAGTGTGGTGTAAAAATTTAAGGAAGCGTTGATAAAATGTCTAAGTTTATCCATTTGAAAGAAATTATGTAAGATTATGATTTTATACTTTTCAAATAAAAAGGAAAATAAAATATTCAAAGCAAACTTTCCGCCAAAAACGCAATGTCTTTATTGTTTAGAAATGCATCTGTGAGATGAACATGTTTGTTTCTGAGTATCTATGTAGGTGAATATTCATCTGAGGATCTGTATATACATGTGGGATTTGAGGAACCTTATTAAAGTAGTATTTCCTGTTTATACTCAAGAATGGTCAATGAAGACCTCTTTTTGAGAATGTCTGCGTTTTAATTGATGTCTGTGCTGTGGAGCAATATATATGTGTGGATATGCATTATGTATTATTGTCAGGTAAGGCATAGATTATTCTGCGTTTGTGCACCGATGGCTTAGGACCACTCTCTTTGGGAGAGCAATGATATGATGGCCACAACTAAAGAGGATCATCATTATTTAAATTTCTAAGATCTACTGGTAAATGGAGAACTAGTAACCACACTGAAATTTCAGAATCTTGGGGAAGCATTTCTTCCTGTCTCTTGTGTGAGATTAAACAAGTCTCCTTCTTCTTCTTTCTCTTACTCTCCTTGGCTAGTTCACAAACACCAAAAAATCTGACAGAAGGGGTATCCTTTAGTCTAACCCCCCGACACTGAAGAGAAGGAGGTGGCTTCTCATGCAGGATTTGGCCAGCATGCTCCTAGCAGTGTCCCAGGAGTGTTGGCAGGGCGACAGGAACCCCACCAGGCCAACTGCTGCCTGGACTTTGGCCTGAGGAGCCAGTGGGATCCAGCAAAACTGTCTGCCTTCCCACATGCTCGGTGCCTGGTGCCCTGGCACCAAGGCGGTGTTCACTGAGGGCGATGGAGAAGGGATTTGTGGCTTCCTTGTTATCTAGCCACCGAGTCCACTCAGCTCCCTATTCCCGTTCCCTCTGATGAGAGGAATGTTTGGTTCCTAGCATTGACTTTCCTTTTTGGTTTGTGGTGTAAATGGCCCATTTAAAAAAAAAAATGTATGTGCTATTACTCAAAATGTAGTCAAAATAGAAGGCAATCAATTACTAGTGGACTATTTTGAAATCTTCCAATAGAATTGTGAAATGTTACTCACGTCCAAAATACTAGGATATTCTGATGATGGAACTATGCTAATTAGCCTTTATGATATTTAAATAAGGCCCATTTTGAGTGTTGGGTTTATTTGAAGATGCTGTATTTAAGTTGTTAGGCTAAGATGTGAAGAGTAGTTAATTTTAAGTTTGTATTTTGAAAATTAAACAATGTGAATCTTTAATCACTTGTTCCCAACAAAATCCTTCAAGTTTAAAAATGTTTATTTTATATGCAGCAAAAACATCTTTTACCACCACAAGTTGCCACGAATGGATCCTGTTGCAGCAAATCCTTTTTTTCTGTTCTACTTTGGGCATCTGCACGAATACAACAAAATTGGGTAATACTTCAAATTGTATCAGTCTAACTGGCTCCAAGTCCTATGTTACATAAAGAAAAATACTCCAGCCCAGTAAGAGATTCACATTGCTTTGTTCATCCTCGGTTCTTCCTTTTTCTGTGCATGTGTGGATATAAAACCATTCTCAAGCTTATACTCACAAACAAACAAATAACGTTGCCAGGGATTCTGGGAACATCTAAGGCCAAAATCTTGGCTCAACATTACAGTGCAAACAAGGAGCTACAGCTTTTGCCGTGATCGTATTCAATGAAGACGTCGTTGTCAGTACCCTCTAAAGGTCTGTTTGATTTGGATCAACATGGATGGTATAAAAAAAAGCCAGAAATAGTAGCGTGTGCTTACTTGGATATAGGAAAGTAAACTAACAAGAAATATCTTGTGTAAGAGTTTTTTCTGGGGAAAAAAAGAATCTTGATTGCTTTTCGATAAAGTAATACATATTTTGTGAAAACTGTATGTGCTGGAAGCACTAGGTTATGTCATGTTACAAAAAAGGGGAGAGCGCGATGGACAGGTAGAGAGGACCCAGAGCTGCTAGGGTGAATCCAGTGATTGCTGACGTGTAAATGGAGTGCTTTGGATCTCTTTTGTAGATCCACTGTGTTACACTGAAAAAAAAAAAAACCTCACGCCATTGAGTCGATCCTGACTCATAGCGACCCCTCCTTGAGTTTCTGAAGTGGTACCTCTATGGAAGTAGATTGCCCAGTCTTCCAAGGAGTGGCTCGTGGGTTTGAGCTGCCAGCCTTCTGGTTAGCAGTCAGATGCCTTAGGCATTACGCCACCAGAGGTCCCAGTGTGTTATTGTTGAGGGTCAGTTTTTAGCAACACAGATAATATTTTTAGAAAAATTGAGCTGATAATGCTGAGAACATTTTAACATACAGGTCAAGAACACAAGGCACATAATTGAACCATATTCTATCCCAACGATCCAGCTTCAAAAAGCACCCAGTACTCTCTCACCCAAGAGAGAAAATCTCTCTGTACATGGTTGCCATTAGATGAGGATAATATTGTTAAATTAAGATCTAAAAAAAGATATACAGAAATAAGCTAAATCTAGGATTTAAGTCTTAATAATTTAACTCTTAGTAACTTAATAATTTTAATTGTTTATAATTTGTTATAAATCTGGTATCAGTAATATTGGAAAAAAGTATAAGGATGGAAGTGAAGTACAATCTTTATAAACTAATAAATATTATGTGTTTCACTTTTTAAAAAATCATCATCTTCTATGTAAAAGTATTACCTGGAAAGAGGTTACTCTATAATGTAAACGTGTAAAAGAAGACATTTTGAGATTTCATTAAATATTCACTAGAGGGTTGAACCATGAAATATCCTTCAAACCTGTGCTTGTGGCTTATATGCAAATGTGTGTGCAATTAAAACCAAAAGCCAACACTACTTGGGCAATGAGACCTCATTTTCTCATCCCTGGATTACGGTATTATGGAACCTCACCACCTACACCCAGGCTGTAGAACAGGACAATGAACTTTTGATCTTAAATAAATCACCCACCCATCACCCCAAACCCTTGAGTATCATCTAAGACTTAAGAAATCCCATGATACCTTGGCCTGCACAGACTTGAATATGAAAAGTGCAACATGGGGCCCACTGAGGATTCTGAGGAGGGAGTAAAAGATCCAAGAACTAGAATCTTTTTACTGTGTCTTCACTATAAGATGAAGTTTTGAAAGTGGAAAGAAAGCATTATATAATTGTTTTATTAATGGTGCTTTTAAAAATTAATGTAAAAAAATCAAGGACTCTTATAAAATACTCTAGCAAGAGTTATAGAAGCTTTAAAAGGAGGTTTTTTTTGTTTTGTTTTTTTTAAATAAAAGGAACATGATCCTTTTGTCAAAAAAAAAACAACCTAGTTAAAAGACGGTCTAGCAGTTGGAAGGAAGTTAAAAAAAGAGAAAATAGTTTTGCTTACAGAAAATGAAAAACCAAAGTTCAATTTTGCCAAGCTTAAAGCAGTTAAGTCGTTTGTTGGAAAGTACTTGGCATTCAGTGACTGTTTTTATTTAGTGTGTTATTTTTCACTAAAATGATAGATACTCCTTCACCGTGTGGACCAGTAGCTACACACTTAAGCTTTTCTTTCAGTGATCAGAACGTCACCTGTTCCACCTGGAGTAGCTCCTCGTAGTGCAGGATTGTGACTAAGTTATGGTGATTATCAAACTACGAGTCACCAAATCAATTTAATGGGAATGAACCAGCATTTTTTTAAAAAAATGAAATAGAATTAAAAATATCAGAGTGCATCTGAGGTAACAAGAGTAGCTACAGTTTCATGAAACTGTTGTTTCAATTTTATTTTAGTTACATGTATTTATTGTATATCTGGATATGTATGTAACCTATATGTCAACAGATAATGTGTGTGTATAAAAAACATTTACATACAAATTTATAAGTGGGTGTGCTGGGTCACAATCTAAAATATACTTCTTACTGTGGGTCACAGTAAAAGAAAAAAAAATATTTGAAAACCACTGGACTAGGCGAGGTGGCTGTCAAGGAGAGCAGGGTGCCATGGCTTGAAGCCGTGAGGCAGAGCTGCAATGTTCTGGACTAAGGGCCTCACGCCAAAACTGGACCCGGAGGAAATGCAACAGAAGATGCACGAGTTTGTGGTCTCCTCCAGATGAAGCTTGCTCATCTATGTGGCCGTGCTTCGAGTCACTCCTTCTAGCTTAAGGAAGCTGGATAGCATATGAAGATTTGGCATTGCCTAAAGCATTTGACCTCAGAAGAAAGGTTGGGCAATTTACTTCCGTAGCGATACCGCCTTGGAAACCCAAGGAGGAGTTGCTATGAGTTGGGTCCAACTCAACGGCAGTGAGTTTGGGTTGGGTTTTGGTGAAAGCATGATGTGAAGAACCTGGTTCCAGTTCTGCTCCCTTCTGCAAATGATTAGACCCAGAAAGACATAAGAGACTCTTTGATTGAATGGACCTAAAAATTCTTCCTGTTAGAACAAGTTTGCTCCGGTGACTGGCCTTCCTAGCTAAAACAGGAAACTCATTGGGAAGTGAGAAGAGCTTTCTGTGGCCTGTTGTGCCCTTATGCCTGTGCAATTCAGCCTCCAAGAACGTTGATACAGTTGTGAATGTCAAATTTCATTTTCTGGCAAGTACTAATTAGAAGAGAATTCTGTCTGAAAACAAAGAAAGAAAGAAAAGAAAACCACTGGACCAGGAGAAAGGAGCTCTGGTGGTGCTGTGGTTAAAGCATTTGGCTGCTAACCAAAAGTTAGTGGTTTGAACTCACCAGCTACTCTGTGGAAGATGAGGCATTCTCCTATGAAGATTTACAGCTGTGGGGTGGGGCAGTAGTACCCTGTCCTATAGGGTCCATGTGACTATGAGTCAGAATCAACTTGACAGCACTGAGGTTTTTTTGCAGGGTTTGGCCTAGGAGAGTTTACCCAGCTTTATTGAATGTTAATGCCACAAAGGATAGTGAGTGGTCGTCTACTTTAACCAACATGACAAATCTGATTTATAAATGAAGAAACTGAAATCCTTACTACATAAGTGACTTGATTAATGTCACACAGCTAGGCAGTGGCA